GGATGTGCATTCCTATGTAGTTATGCAGAGGTGATGCAGCTAGAAAACTATAAACACTCTTACAACAAATAGTAAAGAACAAAAGAGAAGATAAAGCAAATTTGTTACTGGTGTTTGGCAACCAGAATCCAGATTATAGCTGGGGTGAAGGATCTGTGGAAATGGTCATACTATGAAAGACAGAAAAAACAGTGCTGCTGTTGAACTTCTGTAGTTAACAGGATCCCAGAGAAATCGTAAATGAAAACTAGAACAGCTGATGCCTAGTATTACTGCTTTCTTATTTTCAACACATCTTTTGAAACCGTTTCCAATTTTGTAATTGAAAACTTTATTTAGTCAAGCAAACTTTTAGGTTCCTAATCCTTGGCTAAAAAGAAGTCACTCCTTTCATTTTTAATTTTTTTCCTAAGATAAACAGTAATTTCTAAATCTGTCTTGGTTTAGCTTGAAGTCAGTTGAATAAACCTGTATCTACAAAAAGCTGATACATTTGATTATAAATTTAGTATGTTTTAATCTTGCTTTAGATGTCTTCCATTAAACCATTGACTCAAATTATGTAACGAGGGAATATCTCTGAATTTGATAGTACTATAGTTTTTAGTAGTCCTCCTTTTATCGTATTAGAAATTAAAAAATAAAAATATTACATGGTTCGAACAGCATTCATCCTTCTCAGTTATTTTAAATTTTACATATATAATGGTTAAATATACAGAGGAAATTCCTGCACACCCTGGTCCATTTTCTCTTTTTGGAGTTGTCCTGGTTTCAGCTGGGATAGAGTTAATTTCCTTCCTAGTAGCTGGTACAGTGCTGTGGTTTGGATTTAGGATGAGAACAATATTGATAACACACCGATGTTTTAGTTGTTGCTAGGTAATGCTTACACTAGCCAAGGACTTTTCAGTTTGCTGTACTCTACCAACTGAGAAGGCTGGGGGTGCACAAGAAGCTGGGAGGGGGCACAGCCAAAGTAGCCAAAGAAACATTCCGTACCATGTGCCATCATGCTCAGTACATAAACTGGGGGAAGCTGGCCGGGGGAGCCGCTGCTCGGGGACTGGCTGGGCATCGGTTGGCGGGTGGTGAGCAATTGCATTGTGCATCACTTGCTTTGTGTATTATTATTATTATTATTATTATTATTATTATTTCAATTATTAAACTGTTTTTATCTTAACCCACGAGTTTTTCTCACTTGTGCTCTTCCAGTTCTCTCCCCCATCCCACCGGGGTGGGGGGGGAGTGAGCGAGCGGCTGTGTGGTGCTCAGTTGCTGACTGAGGTTAAACCACGACAGGAGTAAATAGAGTGGAAATTTTTCACAATTTAATTTTAAAAATTTATTTTCCTCTGTCTGTTTGCCTATTGTGAATGGAGTTGAAATGGAACATTCAATGTGGCTATAATATTCTAGCAAAGTTCATTTTTTATCTTAATAAAATTGGTATATTTACAGTCATTGTTATTCTAAAGGAGTAGTTCAATCTGTAGCAGACAGGAGAATCACATAAAGCAAATGAAGACTTCAGATAATATATGAAATCCTAACATTTTAATTTGGAAAGACTACTTGGATCTTTTTGCCAGCTCCTCTCTTTTCACATCAAAAGGGGCAATGAGAAAAATGGGGCTTAGTAAGTGTTATGGTAAAAATGGAAGCATTATCATTTCCTAATCTAATTTTAAAAGTTGAAGCACATCGTTAAGTTATGCCCACAGTTTTATCTTTCTTTCCTTCTTCACCCATTTTATTTGTCAGTTAGTTTCCAGTGAAATAATTCTGAAAATTCCTTTTGTAATCCAAATTCAGTATTAGGTCAGTACTAGCTTCTGGGTTGGTATTTTTAAGCCTTAATAATACAGCTGTACTTTGACCTAGAAACCTATTTTGATTTGATAGTTGTAACAATTGTTTTTTTAACGTCTGTCTGCAATTTGTTTTACGTGCAAGTATTTACTTACAATTGAAATATTATTACATAAATAATATAAAGACTTGGAAGAAACATTTGAAAACATTTTACAGGATCAGTGGAAAGTAGTTATTGGAGGAAGATATTGGATCAGTCTCTTCCTAGTAGAAGATGGTACAGTATGTAGCTGTCTTGTGACTAGCAAAAGATCTTTCACTGAGCTCTTGAGAAACAGTGCATTCAAAAAGACTCAGTTCCTATTTGCAAATCACAGTTCAAAGGCTTTCTCTCATATGTTGTCAAAGGGTTTTCATTCTCCGAGGAGTCAATGAAGTTGTTCCTAGTTAATTATTCAAAAGTAACCCCTTTGGGCTGTCCTTTTAATTGTTTTCCAGGTGCCATAAGCTGCAGATTTCAGCACGAAATAAATTTAGGTACAGCACAGTAGGAAGTTTTAAAAGCCAGCAGCTTCTGCAAAGGATTGTCAAGAACAATCTGCAAGGAGACTAGTTTTGGCATATAGATTTTGAGCTGAAACGGTACAGGAAAGGAAGTGCTACTTGCCAGCTCTCACCACCATATGCTTTATTATAATGTAATGTACAAAGAATATGGAGACAGCAGCTGCTCTAGAGGGAGGTGGCCACTTGTTAGATTTTGAAACCTTTCTGAAATGTCTGTTCATTTTCTTTTCACTGGTATTTTTTCCCCTTGCTTATGTATTTGCATTCAAAAGATATTCACTAAAGAAATCTATTTTTAGACCACAGTAAGAAGAAGAGAGTGTGATCTACTTTTTGTTGAAATAAAAATAATTTTAGCAGGACTCTTAACATTTAGTTTTGTATATGGTGAAATGTTGGTAGATTTTTATTTTCTCAATATCCATTCACATCAGGTCATGATGAAATCATATGTATAAATTAACTATTGTCTAGGATTGTATGTCTTTGATGGAAAGAAATTTGTCTTTCATTGGTTTTCAGTGTGTGTTTGCTAGTGGCTTGATCACATTCACATTTAGATCTAAAATGGAAAGTGTGTGCATAGAGAAACCAGCCTTTCCTAGCATCACTACCCAGGCAGTGAAGTTGATTACCCTGTTGCTTTGAGAAGCTGGAAGTTCTTAGCATGTTTCAGGAACTGTGTGACTGCAGTGTCATGAAAATGAACCTAATTTGTTTAAACAAAACTGGTTTTTAAAGGTTTTTTTTTTTTTTTACTCTTAACTGAGATTTTCATATCCACTGAATGTAACAATCCTTCCAGATACACATAACTGCAAGCTCTTGGGTTTTAAGTTAGGGATTCTTAAGTGAATTTGAGAATCCAGAGGGAAGTTACATCACAGTATAATGGGATTATAGCAGGGCAAGTTGTTATAGTATATCATAAAATTAATATATTAGCATTTTTGCTGAGTGTCAACATTTTACGTTGTCACTGGAATAATGCTAAAATGTCATAGCAGCACAAATATGACCCATTTAACTTGGTAAAAATGATGCTTCATATAGAATAAAGATGTTACAATTCTTTTTGGAAGGATAAATCTCTTTGAGACAGAGATTTTTAGATTATTATGTATTGCTCACCATAGATGCATCTCTCTGAAAAAGAAATGACATTAATCTATCTGTCACCAGGTATATATTTTCCTGGTGATAGAAGGATGATTATTATGGAAAATCTGTGTTTATTTGCTTACTTCAGTTCTAGACCAGTCTATTATTTTTGATCTGACCTTCATTTTTTAAACCAGCTGCAATTGGTGGTTATCTGGAATACTTACTTGGTAATGCTTACTTAAAGGTCCCCTTTTCCCTTTTTCTGGCTGTACTTGTTGCAAGAATTCAAATCTAAGTGGGATTACTGATTTGAAACTTTAATCATTCCCTACATTACCCCTCATCCCACTGAGGGGTAATGTAGGGAATTCCATCTACTTAGGAATCCCATTTCTGAAGTAGGCTGGATTTTAAAGTCTACAGTGAAATAAAACATGGATTCTGAATATAGTCCTGCAGTCCTAATTCTGCAAAATGTGAGGCAAATGTTCAAGTCACGTTGAAAATGATGACTTACAGTCATATCTTGAGTCAAATCAAAACCTGTTTTCAGTGCAAATTAAAGTTGTGAAAGGACTTTCCCTTCTTTTGGTTCCTGTAAGTATAGTTTAGCCCTAGCTTAAGCAACACTTCTCTAATTCTACTGAGTACAAGAAAATGTAAGTTATCAACAGTCTATAGTTCACACATGGGTCACTTTAAGTCCATCTGGAGTCTTGACAACACAGGAACTTTTTCTTTGGGGTGTATTACACCTGCAAGGAAGTTTGTAAATGAAACTGTTTGTTTGTTTATATTTTGAATGGGAAGGTAAAGCCTTCCTTGTCCCTAGAAGGACTGAGAATTGTCCCGAGTTGCAAAATGTTTAGCCTACTCCATTTTTTCTAATATAGAAAGCATTTATTGTCTGAAGCAGCAGACTAAAGTATGGTAATTCTAGAAACAGGTACTTTTAGATGTAGAACTATTACTTTATAGATTGTTGGAAATACCTTTTTCACTGAGATTTACTGTTATGATTAGATGAAGATTTATTTTTACATAAAAAATGCCTGGTAAAAAAAAAAAAAAAAAGACAGATCTATCTTTAACTCACCATTATAACCATGAAAGTCAGCAGAGCAATATAATTCTAAGCAAGTGAGAAAAGGAAATACTCTGTAACAAATGAGAATTAATTATTTTTGACACTGAAGAAAGTTAGTTCATTTTTAATGATGTATTGCCTAACCATCACAAGCTATTCAACTGCCAATGGCTAATTTAAAAGAAAAGAAATGCAAGAGACCGAATGTAGCTATTTGTCTAGAGAAATTTTACTCATTGTGTGAATAGCTGCTTCAAGTCTGTTAAAGCTCTATGGATTTTTTGCTAGCTTTTAAAAATCGGAAGACACATGATTGCACAGTTAGAGTTTCAGATCTTAAACTGTACACTGTAACTTTGTTCAAAAGGCATTGTATACTGCTTATCATTAGAGAAATTCATATCTAATTTTTTCTTCTCTTCAGCCACCAGAAAAGGAGGGTGGCCTGCCTCGCCAGGTAGGCAATAAGACGGAGTGCGGCCTCTTGGGATTTGTCCTAGATTTGAAGCAGGATTATGAGCCTGTTCGGAACCTCATCCCCGAGGAGAAACTCTATAAAGTTTACACGTTCAACTCTGTCAGAAAGTCAATGAGTACTGTCATTAAAATGCCAGATGGTAGTTTCCGAATGTACAGCAAAGGAGCTTCTGAAATTGTTCTGAAGAAGTAAGTTCAATGGATTAGTTGCTGTGTTTTTCCAAAATGCAAAACATTCAGTCACTAGTAAGACATACGTGGGAATTTCGGTATTTGGAAGTTGCTACTTACAGTAGAAATACGACACACTTTAGTAGTATAAGCTGTTACTGTTATTTTAATTTTTTTTTTTTAAGTACTCACTCTTGCAAAACTGTTTGGCTTATTTTTCTTATCATTGGCTAGCCAAAGAATTGGGTCTACATTTGGTAGTTTACAAATGGATTCTTTACCTTGAACACATATGGAAAATGAGGATTTTTTCAATTTCATTGTAAGTTTTCAGCTCATTAATTACATGGGTATTGAGGAAATAATGGATGAAAGGCTCTTGGTGTGTCTGTAATAAGTTACAAACAAGTTCTCTGATATTTCAGTAGTGAATCTTCTTGTTTAATCTAGAAATTTACACTAGAAATTTAAAACTTGCCGTCAAAAAAGAAAAGTGTTAAATGAAATGAGCTGATACAAAGAAATACTTTTCAGCAGTCATGCAAATACACAATCGACTTTTTTTTTTTCCCCCCCATAAATAAAAAAGATGTTCCAGGATCCTTAATGCAGCTGGTGAACCACGTATCTTCAGACCACGTGACCGAGATGAAATGGTGAAGAAAGTGATTGAACCTATGGCCTGTGATGGACTGAGAACTATCTGTGTTGCTTTCCGAGACTTTAACAGCAGCCCAGAGCCTGACTGGGACAATGAAAATGACATATTATCTGACCTGACCTGCATTTGTGTTGTTGGCATTGAAGACCCAGTAAGGCCAGAGGTATATCAAATTCTTACATTATAAAGCGTTTCTTGAAGAACTGAACGTAAATTGAACTACAGATTTCTTGTAGTTTTTATTTATTTTTTTTTAATTAGCTCTGTCAAAGAAGATGGAAGTGAGCTTTAGAAATAGACTTTACTTGATAAAAAGTCAAATAATTAACTTGATAAAAATCAACTATTAATCAACCGATATTTAAATAAAGCAAAATAGGGCTTTTTGAAGTGTAGGATTGAGAGATGACTTAACCTTCTTTCAAGGAGTAGTACAGAGAAGGAGGGATCAGCAGAAGTTTTATTAGGCTACCAGATATTAAAGAATTTTCCTTTAAGCAATGTGATAATATGCAACTCTGAAAGTAGAGAAAAGATGTGCAGTGATTGTAATTGCCATGATTATAACTGCAATGTGCTCGCTTTCCACAGAAATTGCACGCAGTCTTGGAGTTTTGTGTTTTACTCTAACAGTTGCCACTTTACCAATTGTCTTAAGACTGTAACTGGTGGCTACTGAGGAAAACTGTTTTTGATGTTGTATTTGGACAAGGAAAAGCTTTGCTGTGGAAAGGCTGCAGATTTCGTGGCTACTATAAGTAAATGGCTTGTAAAAATATCACTAAAATTTCAACTCAACTAAGCTGAGAAAATCAGTATTGGGTATGCACACTGGAAGCATGTGCCTGCTACTACACTTGTAAATTATATTACTGTAGTAATACAAAGGGCGGATTAAGAGGCTTTTAAGAAACTTTGTTTCTGACCTATGTATCTGGTGCTTGATAATGAATCTTGACAGTGGAGAATTAATTCCATTTTACAGTTTCGAAACAGTGACAGAAGGTAAGTCCCAAAGTTGAAAGCGCTGAGCATAAAATGCAGGCGTTTTCGATATCTTTGTTTGGTGCTTTGCTCGCTGACTCAACCGTGAGCGTGTGGCCACGGCTGCTGTGTAGGCACAGCTGCAGCCGCGTGGTGTGATGTGAGAGCACCTGCCCCAGCACCCCAGCACTCTCCTATTTTGCTCCAAGAAACCCGCTCTTTGAATCTGCTGTTATTTCAGTAGGTGATTAATGACTGTGGTTTGCTTTGGAGTAAGGTCATTAAAAGATGACTCAAATTTCTCTTAGACAAAAAGAGTGGGTTCTGATGCTGCAAAAAGTAAGCAGTTTGGTACCAATCTTTGTCTTTTTTATTCTTCTGTCTCATTTTACATTTTTGCTGTATCTTTTTTTAATCATGTCTAAATCTTTGTATTTGATCCACTGAGAATTGGTGGCAATGCTAGACATGTTAGGAAATTATTTTTTTTTACTAAACATCAAAAGAATAAATTAATCTGATTTATTTCCCCGAGTCCTTTATAAAGTAGGCTTTTACATACTTCTGACTACTGTAACTTTGGAAACTAGCATGATACAATTACAACTACAGGTACCAACTGCATAACTATACTTTGCGTGATAATGGACTTTCTTGGGGGTTTTTTCAGTGTCAAGACAGTTATGATATAAAGTAAATCTTGCTTAGGTGAAAACTGTATGATAAACTCCTTATCTCCACAATGACCAGATAAAGAGCATTCACTTTATCTGTCATCAAATTCATCTGTCCCTACACCTGACATTGCAAGTCTTTAAAAATATTTTAAAGCATTCTTGAAATGTTCTGTCTGCAATGATCCCTTAATGCTCTAGCTCACATATACATGAACTCAGAAAGTTTTTAACTGTCAGCGACCACTGGAACTGTGAATCAGCCCTCTTTTTTTTAAATTGATTCATGATACGTGTTGTTAGAAAATAGCTTTAAGTCAGGTTCTGTGTGGTATGACAGACTGGGGGAATGGGTAGCAGTGGGATTTGCAGTAATTATTGAAAATAGCTGCAAACTATCCTTTCATGTGATTATTATGAGTGTGTTTTATAAGAGAACTGCTCTCATCTTGTAGGGAATAATTTTTTAGGAGCTTGAGCTAAAAATGAATAGTGTTGCTAAAAATAAGGAGGTCAAGTCTGACTTCTATGTAAAGGATCAAAGATGATAAAGGCAGGAAAACATTTTATTTCTAGATAATTATTTGAATATTGTATTGAATTTCTTGTAGTTTAACACCAGAATATGCAGTAACGCTTCTTCATTGCAAGACACACAAAAAAATGTTTATCATTTCAGAATTTTACCAAATGCTGGACATATCTACAGTTGTTTTTTGGTTTTTTCCCTCCTTGTCTCTTTTGACTGTTTTAAAGTGATAATAACATCATGAGAACATTTAAAACAATGTTTAAATTATTACTACTCCACACATTGGTAAAAAGCAGTAGCAGTACCTTAGGAAAAAGAAATGAACCAAAAAACTCCAAGCCAAAACAAAAACATAAATTTCAGAAAAACTGTCTAGGTATGAAATATCTGACTTAGTGGCAGTATCGTAATATACGTATATTACAATGGTGACATCACCATTGTAGATGCAAATAGTAAGATGTTGAGCTGTTATATGGGACCTTACTATTTTGCCAGAATTAAGCCCACTTATTAAATAGAGTCACCACTGGAGTTTATGAATTTTCAAAGTGCTTTAGGGAAAAAAGTACGTAAAAAATTAGAAATATTACTACAACTGCTGTTTTATTAATATTCTCAGTTTTCATGGATATCAGAATTTATTCTGACAGAAATGATAGATTAGGTAATTCCAATGAAACAATCCAATGTCACCATCCTAGCAGCCTTTAGTTTTCCTTAAATTACATTCCCATTTTTCCTGGGGAAGGCTCAGTTTTTTCATTTTCCCTAAGATGGTTGTTGGAGTTAACACATGCAAAATGGTAGCCTCCTTGTTTCCACAGAGCTCCTGTGGCACATTGCTCATCATGTGTCAGTGGTGTCATGCTAGCGTGGTTTCAGAGATAAGAGTGCTGCATCTGTTCTGATGATATTGCTGGGCGCTTTCTTGCACTTGCATTCCCTTCCATACATTAAAAGAAACTATTTGGATGAATTATTCAACAATTATATCCAGCAACTGACCAGCTTTATCTGGAGCATTACCACTGGACACCCATGACTTTTGTGTAATTCCTAGGTTAATTCAGATGCTAGCTTATTCATTGTCAGCAGCTGTTTTTATCAAGCACTGAACTACCTGCTTGATATTTATCTTTTTTTGGTGTGTGTGTGGGGGGGTTTTTTCTTTGATAAATATACAAGAAGAGAACAAATAGAATGATGTCTTGTTCCTATAGAGATTTCTCAGTTGATTTTGACAGTCTTTCTGGATTGATTTTAATGAGTCTGTACTGGCTTATACTGATTTGCCAATGTACGCCTACAATCTGTTATTTCTGGGAGATGAACGTTAATCACTTCCAAATGTCACCTATTTATTTGTCACCTGATGTTTGTACATATTCCTGCATGGGATAATTTATGCATGCATGCATGCATTAGAAGGTTTTCTTTGCAGAGAGAAAATAAACCAGAAAATTTTAAAATGTGTACTTAAGTTCTGCAAAACTGATGGAAAATATCTGCTTCCACTGCCCACTCAGTCTGCCAACACTTTCTTCCTTATAGCAATAAAAAAATATGAACAATATTTTAACTGTAATTACTGTACACAGTATTAAATCAGATACCACCCACCAGCTGTCCAAAAAATGAGAGAAGAGGAAAATAGAATTATTTCTCTAGTTATATGTGAGTTTGAGATGTATTTGAAACTAGGTTGTCCTCCTGTGACCTTGTTTAATAGGACTGGCACTTTATGTGAATAGACCTTTTTTTTCTCTTTGCACTGTAATTTATTTTTGTCCTTCATGGTTCATACACTGTGCTGGTTTTACAGATAGTCGTCTAAATCTGTCATGTCCTATGCATGAGGGTCACCACAGTTAAAGTGGATACTAAGGGCATTCCAAATTGGCAAATGGGACATAGTCAAGATTATTAGTGTGGAAACTGGGTAAATCAGGAGTCATTTGCTTAAGTAATAGAGTTAATCTGATTGTGTCCCCCCCCCAATATAAGTCTATTTCATAATGTTAAAAGGCTTCAGGTCCAAATAATGTTTCCAGGATAAAACTTGAGGGAAGAATATTCTCAGTTAGTAGAGATGAGGAAATGGGAAGATAAACGTCTGTCCCTTAATTTTTCTCTTGGTTCTGTAATCTGTATTGACAGAGAGTCATTCTGCAAACAGCACATTCTGTGGATGCAGTCTGAAGGTGGAGTGATTTTCTTCGTAGCCATGGGAAAATACTAGTCTGATCCTCAGTTAGGTGTTAGTTTAGTCAGGCATTTTGGAAAATCGAAGCTTCACAACTGCCTTTGATAAAGATGCAGAAACATGGTGTGAAATTGTATTCACTGATTAGAATAATCATTATCTACAATATGGTTTACGGGTGTATAATTTCAGCCTGAGGTGCCGTCCGAGACACACAGCCTTTCTGGCCCCATGAAGTCATTAGAAGCCCAGCGTTTGCCACACTGGATCAGAGCAGTGGTTGTCAAGTAAAAGGCAATGTCCTGCCTTCAGCAGCGTCACATACTTGCAGCTATAGAGGAAATTAAAATATCCAGAAATGCAGAAAATTAACAGTGTAATGTTGTAGATGGTGGCTCCTTTTTTGTACTAATGGCTGAGATTAATCCACTCTAGTTGGCATCGAGTTCTACAATACACTTGTATCTATGATAGAGGTTATGATCAGCAAGCTGCACTGAGCTGGCAGTGGAATATAGTGAGGCTTTGCTATTGTAGCCAGTAATATAAATTTTTATACCCTTTCTTAAATAGTTTTTTTGTTTGTTTTTTAAAATTTTTTAATAATTGTTTTAAAATTAAAATTCTTTTCATAATCATACCCTTTGCTTATTAGTTTCTGTAGGAAATCAACAGTTCTATATACACAATTGCTGACATAATTCATCACAGACAATCCCATTATTTTACATAAGGATATCAGCTGAGCTTCTTCAGATGACAATATAGCAGCAATTTGCACTCAGTGGTCAAGTATGTGTATTTGGGCAATTTATTCAAATACGGTTTGTGTATGTATTACATAGATTGAGAGTGCTAGGCAGCATTGCAGAGCAAGCATCTACGGCCAGGTCTTTGGTGCTATTTTAACTTGTGGGATAACCTTCAAATTGCCTGGAGGTTTACTTAGGATCACACCTAATATTCAGATGCTTATCTAAGTCATGCTCATCTTTGAGGAATCTTTTTCCTCTCAGACTGTCACTTGTCTGCTTCAAGTACCTCTCTGCTGCCCCACACGTAAGAACCAGTGCAACCTATAATTGCTTTATATCTGTCCTTTGCTCTCTTCTGTAGTAAGGCAGTTCAGTTTCTTGTAGCTCTGTGATGGGTTCCTGTCTTCATGAGGAGTCCTGGGATGCCCTTAGTCTCTTCTAGGTAAAAATGAAATTTAGAGAAGTGGTGGTGTGCTGAAGGTATCTATCTAGGCTGTTCTTGAAGTATGAAACGCACTTCTTATTCTTCCATGTCAAATACTACTGTTATTTTTTTCTTGAAGAAATAATGTTTTCATAATAATGCAAAAGTCTGATAAGACTGCGTTCATTGGTTAGAGTGATATTTATTAATAATTAATAAATTATCATTAACTAAGATATAGTTTAAGGGAATAGAATTTTTTCCCCATCTGAAATTGAGCTATAGATATATAGCATCTCTATAGGCACTGACTTCATGTACCCAAGTAGCTGTATTAAAAGAGCTTTATTTATTTATTAGGAATCAATTTCCTAGCTCTTGCACATTTTAGTTACAAAATTTTATTTTTTTTTTTTTTAAATAAGCTGTATATGATGCCAAGTCAGTATATAGCTTCTACATTACTCTCACGGACCCTGTTACACACTGAATTCTCTCTCACTGGTATGTATACTGTGCAGCAGGAAAAGTTAGTCTCATGCAGAAAGGAGCATAAATAACATAAATGACAACATCAACACAGCACGTGCCATTGCCATAAATGCTTCATTTTTACAGTTTTGAAGTATGTAAATTATTCATGAAATTTTAAACTCGTATGTTTAGGAATTCTACCTGTTGATATGCATGAATTAAGTGCTGAATTACAATAACTTTTTAGATAATCTTATTGAAAGGTAAGTTTGGATCAGAAGTTAGATAGTTTTCTGTACAATATACGTGTATTCTCAGTTCATATTTACATGTATGTTGAGTATGGTAGGTTCAGCGTGCTGTACCTTTGCTAAAGGTCAAAAAAGCTGCAGAGCACTCCTTTTTATTAAAGTCAGGAGAGGCTTTAGGCAACTGATCTAAAAAATGGTTTGTGTGCTTCTCAATACAAGATTTGTCTTGGCTGTGGTGTAACCTCAACTCTAATAGTCAGGTAGCTGTAATATGCCATAACATGTATGATTTCTCTTATTGCTTCATGAATTTCTTAGCCTCAAAATATTCTGATTGGAAACACCTGACTTAAGTTTTATCTCTTATTTAGGGATTTTCTTTCCTGTTATATTGCTTTTGTAGGTCCCAGAAGCCATAAGAAAGTGCCAGCGAGCTGGAATTACAGTCCGCATGGTCACTGGAGACAACATCAACACAGCACGTGCCATTGCCATAAAATGTGGAATCATTCATCCGGGAGAAGACTT